GGTCAAGCGGCACCCGGCCTCGATCGCCCCCAGAAGCTGCGCGAAGAGGCTGGAATCGCACCGTGCGCATGCGCACTTGCTCCCGCGCCGCACCGGGTCCTCAAGACCCCAGCGGTCTCCATGGCAACCGAGGTTGTTGCTAGGATTCGGCGTGGCTCTGCAGCTGGGCCTGGAGAGCTGCGTCAACTGCTGAAGCGTCCACTGAGCAAGACCTCGATCTCTCCAATCGCCCACTCTTTCCACCCGTGTGTACCTAATGTGGGCCTGAGGCCAGCGACACTGTCCTCCCTGGCCATACCCACCAGCTGTTTTATCCTCTGCAGACTGGATTCCTGGGAAATCTCAGCAATCAGAGGGCAAGAGGAAAAGGGGCTCCAACCGGCCATCACTCTCATCCCCTCTTCTCAGCCACTGTTCTTGGACTGGGGCTTTAGCTCAGTGGTTCCACTGCCTACCTAGCAAGCCCAAGTTCTCGAGTTCGATCCCCGGTACCAAAAAACAAAACCACAGCTCTTATCAGGCAGCATTTCTGAGCCGCGACTCCTGAGTGCTAGACACTCACGGAAATTTCTAGAAATTCCTGGAAATCTCTAGAAATTTTTATTTCCTCTGTCCATCCTCATCCTGAAGATCGTACCTTGCCTTTCCTCGGTTCCTCAGCTTGCTGCCCCACAGTAAACTTTTTTATTAGCTTATTAAATTTAGGTTAATAGTTTAATAGTTTATTAATTGGATGACTCGGTTTGAGCTGCCAGGCCCCTCACTGATAACACCTAGCAATACGCTTCCTAGTTCTGTGATCTTAGACAAACAATTTGCACTCCTTTTTCTCCACAATGGAAATACTCATAAAAATCTTCTTCTTCTTTTTTTTTTTTTTTTTGGTACCGGGGATCAAACTTGGGACCTTGCACTTGTGAGGCAGGTGGTGGAACCCCTGAGCTAAATCCCCACCCCGTTAAAATCTTCTTGATCTAGCAGTTTTGAAGATTCGGGGACCTCATACATTTAAAAATGCTAATGAAGAACAGAATTTCTCTTCCTATTCAACCACAATCTGTTCTACGCATTCAGATTTGGAATTGGCCTTTGGAAGGCCAAATAGGCAAAACCCTATTCCCCTGTGATCTCTACCATCCCTAAATATAAACATGGGTCCCACGTTCGATCCCTGGTACCAAAAACAAAAAACAAAAGAACATGGGCATGACCAATATCTGTGTGATTGTGTGAGTCCTTGTTATATCTTGTGCCAAAAACAGACATCCTTTGAATTGTCAGTATCTGAACAATTCACATTCCAGTAAAGACAGACCCTGAGCTGGCACTGTGGTGCACACTTGTTATCCTAGCTGAAAGGGAGGCTGAGACAGGAAGATCACCAACTTTGCAGCCAGCCTGAGTAACTTAGCCAGGCCCTGTCTCAAAATAAAACAGGCTGCGGGGCTGGGGATTAGCTCAGGGGTTCTGCTGCCTACCTCTCAAGCGCAAGTCCCGAGTTTGATCCCCAGTACCAAATAACAAACAAATAAATAAATAAAATAAAATGGGCTGTGGATGTAGCCTAATGATAAGAGTGTTTGCCTAGCCTAGGCTTTCAGTTCAGTCACCAGTACTGCCACAAACAAAAACAAGAAACTGCCCTCTGGTTACAGTAGAGCTTTACAATCTCTCATGTACTTTATATAATTGAAGCTCTGTGACTTTAATTAAAGAACGGCACTATATCACCATGCAATGGGTTTTTTGTTTGTTTGGCTGGTTGGTTGGTTGGGTTTGGTTCTTTTTCTCTGAGACAAGGCCTCACTGTGTAGCCCAGGCTGACCTTGAACTTGCAGCGATCCTCCTGTCTCAGCCTCCTGTGTGCTGGGATTACAGGTGTGTGATACATGCCCAGCCTATGCAGAGGTTTTACAACAGGGCCCTAAATTCTCTGTGACTGTTTTGAATACTATAAAAATATTTAAAATTAATGGATATGAATCTATGGTGTGTATATATACCTAAATATGATGCACTCCAAAATATTCCAAATAAATATTTAAGAGAGAAAAATTTTAAATTTTGTTTATATTTTAAATACTATTTATTAATGTACCCTTCCACTTATAGGTTTGTTGTAAGTGGAGTCAGCTGCCTGCTTGTTCCTCCATTAAGAGCCACTCCATATCCTAGCAGATTTAAAAATAGTTTTGAAGCATCCTTAGTAGGAATCCTCATTGTAGTTTCCATGACAACACAGGGTGCCGTGGTTTCTATGACACAGGTTCGCACTGTGGTTTCCATAGTGACACATCCCTACAGCCCCAACTCTCTCATCCCTCTTCCTGCTTGAATCTAGGATTGCCTTTCCATTCTCTTTCTGGTTAGCCTTTGGGTTTCTATGATGCTCTGCTTTTTGGTTTTTGTTTTTGTTTTAAGTACTGTGGTCTTCTCACTGATCTAGCTACATTCCCTGTACGCTTTTCTTTCTTGCTTGCTTGCTTTCTTTCTTTCTTTCTTTCTTTCTTTCTTTCTTTATTTATTTATTTATTTTTTGAGACAGGGTCTCATTGTATTATAGCTCAGGCTGGCCTTAAACTCACTGTGTAGCCCAGGGCAGCTTCAAACTCATAGCGATTCTTCTGCCTCAGCCTCCTGCATGTTGGGTTTTTTTTTTTTTTTTTTTTTTTTTTTAATGTTTGATACAGTGTCACTAATTTTCTCAAGTCCCCAGGCTGGACTCCAACTTGTGATCCTCCTGCCTCAGCCTCCAGAGTGCTGGGATTATAAATGTACCCAGACAGATCATACTCAGATCTCTGATGTGTGTGTTGGAGGACAGGTTGTGTGTCTGTAAATACTGACCCCCAGAAAGGTCTAGTCTCCCCCTCACATTTCCTCTCCCTGCCTCAGGGTGTGGGGCCCAGCCTGGCACTGGTGGGAGGCAGTGGCATCTTATGAAGAAGTGAGAAAACACTGAAAGGAGGAAAACTATAAACCCCTTGCCATTTCATTTTGCATGGAGAACCTTGTTACTCTTTTTTATAGGGTAAAACCGTGACCCTCATACAAGTAGAAGATGGACAAGGGGCAAATGTTTTTTTTTAACTGGTCAGATAACTCAGCAAGACTGTACAGCCATTTCAAAGAAAAGATCCAAAGAGCTGATACAAACACAGGCCATTGGGAAGGCTGGAATGAATTTCCCTGATGTAGAGAAAACTGGCTTTTCCCCCAGTGGGAGAAACAAATCACTTAACCCTCACAAGGCAAAATTCACTTACACCTCTGAAAAGAGATTATGGGCACTGCCTTTATTTTAGTTTATTGGGTTTTTTGAGACAGAGTCTTGCTATGTAGCCCAGGCTGACCTTGAACTCATGGTGATCCTCCTGCCTCAGCCTCTGGAGGGCTGGAATTACAGGCATGCACCAGTATGCTTGGCTCAGTGTGCATTGCTTTCACTGCTATCTGCAACTTACAGAGGTACAAACAGGTCAGACTTGGACACCCCATAAAATCAGCAAAGCCATTGCTGGGCGTGGTGGCACACGCCTGTAATCCCAGCACTCGGGAGGCTGAGGCAGGAGGATTGCTGTGAGTTTGAGACCACCCTGGGCTACATAGTGAGTTCCAGGTCAGTCTCAAGTACATAGTGAGACCCTGTCTCAAAAAAACCGAAAAAAAAAAAATCAGCAAAGCCAGTAGGACGTCCTGGCCACTCCCTTTTCTGCACAGACATCAGCCATCCTTTTGATACATTGCAAGGTCTTCCACCATTTTTCCTACAGAAACAACAGAATACAAAATATCTCTGTTCATCTTGTGTGGTAATATATTGTTTTGTCTTGTTTTTGTTTTTGCTTTTTGGTTTGGTTTTGGGGTGGGGGGAGGTTGACTGACCTGGAACTCACTATGCAGCCCAGGCTGGTCTCAAACTCACAGTGATCCTCCGGCCTCAGCCTCCCAAGTGCTGGGATTACAGGGGTGCGCCACCACGCCCGAGTCAGTAAGATATTGTTTTATGCAGCCTTATTTTCTATTATGGGGTGGGGGGTCTGCAGATCACACAGTAAAGTGTGTTTCTCACACAGATCCCAGCCAGGAACACGTGACAGCCGTCGCCACGGTGAAATAGCTGTTTCCCCAAGGATGGAGATCAAGGCTGTTTCCCATTGAGAAGCCTGGACGGGCTGGTGAGCGGTGCCCTGCAGATTTCCGTGTCACTCAGACTGGTTTAACTTCTCGACTTGTCTGAAATTATTACGACGCTGCTGGAAGGACGTCCTGCCTGCTGCGTCCATTTTCTTCACACAGAACCGCAATGGAAGATGAACCCTGATGCTTGGAGAGCACAAACTTGGCAGCCCTGCCCCGCTCCCCCGCTCCCTTCCTGGAAATCAAAGACCCCCTCCAGGGATCCCGAGGAGGCGGAAGAGGGCGGGCGGAGCTCGGGTTCCATGGCCCCAGCCCCCTCTGACCCGCGCAGCTGTCCAGATCCGGAGCCAGGGATCGAGTTCCAGGGGAGCAACTGGGCCGGAAATCCAGAGGCCCCGCGTCCTTTTCTGTTCTTCATTTTTTTAACGAAAAATCAAAAGCAGCCAGGGCCTTCTCTCTGAGCTACATCCCCAGCCTTTTCTTTTCTTTTCTTTTCTGAGATGCTCGCTAAGTCGTCCAGGAAGAGCTCGACCTTGCGATCCTCTCGAAGGGTTTTTTTTTGTTTTTGGTTCATTTCTTTGTTTCTGTGTGTGAGATTTTTTAACGACATCATTTCTGGGGGACCCTAGAGAGCAGGCTTCTGGCCACAGGGAAAGCACATTTTCTATAA